CCTAACACTTTCAAAAAGTGCCTCCAAAATTTTCAACGAAATATATATTTTTCCAACACTTCAAAAATCCACCTTTGCTCACCCGCCGCAACCAACCGTTTGGAAAACGTCCAAGTCGGCCAACGATAATATCCGTGGTTTTACATAATCTCGAAATGTATGTACCAACTTGGTGGTGTTTTCGTTCAGGACCTGCGAAAACAATATTAAGGTGATATGAAAAACACTAGTGAAAAAAATATATTTCACGACTACTGCATATCACCGCGAATATCGCGTTTTACGCCACTTCACGTAAAACGGGTGAAACTTCATTGAAATTGAAAATGACGATATAATTCAAATCAGAATTTTATAAAAATACTCGGACAAATTTTCAAATCACTGCTACACATAGTCCCCATTTGGGCCTATTTTGAATCTTTATGTGCGCAACCTAAGATACGCCTCCCTTATTACAGTTTCTCTTCGTTTTCCCATCCCCTTTCGAGCCAAGTCTAATGGGTCCTCATCCATTAAATTTTCGTCACCCTCCTCTTCGGTGCTTGAGAGCATTGAGCTTAGCTGAGATAAGATGATACGGAATAGGTCCAATTATGAAAGATACGGAATAGGTCCAATTATGAAAGATACGGAATAGGTCCAATTATAAAAGATACGGAATAGGTCCAATTATGAAAGATACGGAATAGGTCCAATTATGAAAGATACAGAATAGGTCCAATTATGAAAGATACGGAATAGGTCCAATTATGAAAGATACGGAATAGGTCCAATTATGAAAGATACGGAATAGGTCCAATTATGAAAGATACGGAATAGGTCCAATTATGAAAGATACGGAATAGGTCCAATTATGAAAGATACGGAATAGGTCCAATTATGAAAGATACGGAATAGGTCCAATTATGAAAGATACGGAATAGGTCCAACCACACGACGAAGATTCACTATAAATTCCACCAAAAATTCTTCAAAATTGCAAATTTTCAAAATAAATTCCCAAAATCTCCTCCAAAAATACAAAAACTAAGTATTACCCTTTTTGTGAGTTTTCGTATTGACCCCAAACTTGCTGAACTGCTCGGTTTATCTGTAATTAAAAATTATAAATATCAAAACTAACAATTCAGAACTCACCGAAGGGCTCCTGCTCTACTGTAGATCTCGGAAGTACCTGAAATCCGTGCGGATGAAAATACGAGAATTTTGAGAAAGTTTAGAGTTTCACCCGTGGAACGTGAAACATCAGCGAAAAATATATTCCACATTTCACTCAAGCAGTGAATAACGCGTAAAACGTGTTTTACGTAAAATAGGGTGATCTGTCCGGTGTAAATCGGCAAGTAATTTCAAAAACGGTGATATAAAGTGTCATAATAGCAATTAATAGCGTTCACCACTAGAGTTTCACCCGTAATACGAACAAACACTAGTGAAAAATATATTTCACATTTCACTTGAGCAGTTAAAAACGCGGTATGTGTTTTGTCTGCATCCTCATATCTTTGGTCGTCGCGCGCTCGACCGTTTTGCTCTATACTAACTGAACGATGATCTCGTTCAACACAACCATAGGAGAGAAATCAAACCTTAATCTTGCTTCATCGAACATGCTGCTACTACGAAGTTAGTATAGAACAAAACGGTCGGGCGGACGACGACCAAAGATATGAGGATATCTGCTCTACTTCGCAAAGTGTTTTCAATTCGCCACTTCATATCGCGTTTTTCACATGGAGTATTACGACGCCACTTCACGTAGTAAAACGGGTAGTCGTGAAACTCCATTGTAGAACACGAATTTAATATGAAGATCTTTTTACGTTATCATTCAAACATATATTCATCAGTGAACTGGGCCTTAAAATGCACATGGTCAACTACATGTATGAAGATTGGTTTCTGTATTACACTTCTACCCAAATTCATATATAAACTCTTCTGAGCTCAGCAGCTGATGATGAGGAAAACGATTACATATATTCCTACTACTCCAACACTGCTTACACGATACAGTGTGAGAAACTATGTACCACTCGTGTTGCAATTTTCCCAAATTTTCTACCATACGTTAAATTTTCCGATAAACTTCTAATTGAGTTTTCCAATATTACATTAACCGCTTCCTCAACAGCACCTTCCGGATGGGCTTTAGCAGAAACACGACATCCCATTTTCGATGATCAAAACATAATCAACAACTACAGCAATTAACTCGCTGAGTGATGTACGAGTATCGGCTGAGATTGCCCAGGCCCCCACGCCACGTTGAGGCGCCAAGACCTGTGGGGGGGGCGTCGTTTTTAAAATGACAAACCTCAAGTCGGGCGAGTGATGAGGATAGCGCGCGCCCAAGTAATCGATTATGGAAAGCCCGGCTGTGGCGTGCGCTACTATGAGCCTATCTTTTCATATCTGTATCAACCGTCTCCCCTTCAAGGAACCGTAAAACGCGATGGCGAATTGAAAACACTTTGCGAATTACACCACGCAAGACACATACCACGTGTTTTACGCGTTAGCTTATATGCGTTTCACGTGAAGTATATATTTTTCACTAGTGTTTTTCATATCACTAGGGTCAAGAAAGCCCATTGATCCAATATCATCTCATTCATGAAGTGAAGAATTACAAGGACAGCTAGATGATGATATCTGATTATACTTATCGTCGTCGTCTTGCGTCTTGTTTCGGCTATGCCTTAACGCTAGTTGTATGACGTATTAGTCATTACTATATTGGAGTAGTTGCGGTTCACTATATTCGCTTACTATCGTACTTTGGCAGTGCGATTCCAGGTGATTGTTGGGTCTTTTGTTTACTCGATAAAATTTGCACAGTACTGTCCTCGCCATTTCTCACTGTAAAGATCCGTATATATACTCTCTCGCCAAGAGTAAAACCGTTGCAATGTAAATCATGGCATGTAATAACGAACTAAGATTATACTTTGCATCCACACTCATGCGGAATTGTGTTCTCGTTCATCATGGTGGCCGATGCTGATCAGCACAGTACATGAAGTTTCGTCACATAAGTTTTCCATAAAGTCTACTATTCAAATGAGTTCACTTTCAAGTAGGTCCCCCTCAAAACTCAACAAACTTGATAACGAATGATTTCAGAAACCGTGTATCGACGGTGCGAAAACAGGTTGAATCTGAAATTGATACCCAATGTATAGATAACACACACAACATACACTGGAGTTTCACAACTACCCGTTTTACGTAAAGTGGTGAAAAACGCGATATTCGCGGTGATATGCAGTAGTCGTGAAATATGTTTTCCACATTACTAGGGTCCAGTCCCCCAAAATCTTCGCAGTGCGTAAAGATTCCTCTCACACTTCAGAGGCCTTTATTATATTGAAGATCACCATGGCCCTGCAAACTGGGTTCGAGTGAGTCTTCCGAGATGATGCCAGTCTGTGGAAACGCTGCTATACTCGCGGGCAACCCGAACCCGAATGATAGCAGTAGCACCTACAGGGTGAACCCAACCGTTATGCGAAATAATATAATCAACGACTTCGAAAGTCAACATATGGATCGTTTGACACCAACGTTTTAGAAGCGTTTCGTAGTCTATATTCGTATTACTCGCAAACTAGAGAAAGCCATCTCGAAAATCTACATATGTGAAGGTGTGGGGAAATATACATATGGTCAACTACATGTGTTGGTGACGATATAAATTTCTGAGAAAATTTCGGAAAATTTTGGTTAATTTTTGTACAAATTCCTGAGCTCAGCTGAGGCAACCAAACTCATATTTCAACACTGCATAGTTCATCTGCCAGTGTTGGAGTAGTAGAAATATGTGTTTGCTTTCCTCATCGGCTGAGTTCACGCGTTTCCTCACCACATATTCAGAGTAGAAGTATCAACGAAAATTCCCTCTAAATTTCCTCAGAATTTATAATCACCAACCAGTTAGCCTTGCGCAAAATTTCTGCATTGGAGTTTCACGATGACCCGTTTAACGTGAAGTGGGGTAATACTCCATGTAAATTATAAGATGTTTATCTTTCCGCGACCGCCGATGATATATTTTTCCCGCCAAGTGAAATATGTTTTTCACTAGTGTTTTTCATATCACAGCTGAAATTCCACTTTTATACACATTTTGCAAATATTTTCCGAAAATGCGAATATTTTGTAATTCTTTTTATACATATTTCCCGAATATTTTCCGAATTTTCTCACCATAGTAGACAAAGGCAATGCCATGCTCGGATAGGCCCCGCAAAACCGTTGTATCGGCGGTAGGGTCATAAACGCCGGGGGCACGCCAAACACGGGTAATTGCAGTAGCATTCTCGACGCCACAACCTGTGAGTAAAAAATTCCGATTTCGGACTAATTCACCCAATAAACTAACCTCTTTTAGTGCTTTTTTAGCAGCATTTTTACTAGTGCCAACTTCCTCGTTAGTGCCTTTCTTATATACCGTAATTCCACTGTCAAGCTCCGAATGACGCATGATAAAACAGTTCGCTGATGACGCCACCTAAAACGGTGGGAATTCCCTGGGTAAATTATACCCGGCGTTTTAGAATGAGTAAATTTTACACGTTCACTCACCATTGAGGTTGGCCTACTAACAACGCATAATAAAACAATTCGCAGACGATGCCACCTTAAACGGTGGCGATTTACTGGGTAAACTGTACCCACCGTTTTAGGTTGAGTAAATTTTACCACCGTTTTATGTTGAGTAAATTTTTCACGTTCACTCACCATTGAGGCTGGCAAACCAACCCACCGTAAAACCACTGTTGCTCTCGCTGGTGACAATCGCTTCTTAACAACCTAAACGTGTGGGACAATACGCACTTATTAATGTTCTAGTTATAATACTTTTACCATTTGAATTTTCATATAAAATGTGATGTACTGCTGTTTCACCCGTGAAATGTAAAACATATTTCACATTTCACTTCGCGAAAAACGCGTAAAAACACAACCGATATATCGGAATTTCACCCTAGTGATATGAAAACACTATAAAATATATTCCACGACTACTGCATATCACCGCGAATATCGCGTTTTTCACCGAGTTTTATGGTTGTGAAACTTCATTGTGCAATAATCGCTACAACTACCTCTTCAAAAAATGTTAAACCTGTACTCATCCAATTTTATTATAAACCCTTCGGAACAAACTCAACGGAGATAAAACTGTGGCGCCTCCTTTCCTCAGCTACTTCGTACTACATGCTGCTACAGTTTCGGCCGATTGAAAGTAATTGAATATTTTTCGCAGAATATATGAATTCCACTATTCTCGAGAGCTCCACTGGTGTAGTTGTGGAGAAATGATTAAATGAATTCACCAAGTGAAACTCACTAGAAAAAATTTTATAATTCTTGTACAGAAATAATACTAACATAGCTTCGCTCCGCTTAGCAATAAAAATTAATTTTCAAACACACAAACATTCTTCCCTTTTTCTTACACTCGACAGTCCATATGCAATAGCGATGGCGCTACCAACAGCGCCAAGGTAACTCCATGTTAGCGTTTTATCATCAACCGGTGATGATGCGTTTCTATTGAAGTAGTTGACAAATGCATTCTGAGACTGGTTCACCCAGTGCCTGGAAGAGGGCGCGAGTTCGACTCTCGCACTCCGCAGTTTTCCAAGGAAAATATGAAACTACATTATGAAAATACATATGTTATTAATAACATTATAGATTTAAAACTGAACTTAATATGAATTTCTTGAAAATTCTGAGAGGAAATTCTTATTGGTTTCTGTATTACACTTCTACCCAAATTCATATATAAACTCTTCTGAGCTCAGCAGCTGATGATGAGGAAAGCGATTACATATATTCCTACTCCTCCAACACCTTTCCATTACTACCAAAATACAATCGCTGGTGTAGACTTCGCCATAACAGCCCCAACACAAACAGGCCCATTGAAAGGGACGTAACCGCTCATACGAAATGGTGCCGGGATCAGCTCACCGGTATCGGGGTGAATCTGTGAAAAAAACTATTCATTGGAGTTTACGTGAAGTGGCGTCGTAATACTCTGCGAAAAACGCGATATGCAGTAGTCGTGAAATATGTTTTTGTGGAACTTCATTGTAAAATTAAATGGATTAAACATATATATTCGCAGAAAAATTTTTGGGGAAAATTGTCGGAAGTAAACCCGTAGTGAATCTGGCGAGCACACATACGTAAAAATGAACTTCTGAATTTGGCAGGTAAACTTGATATCATATCAATTGTGAAACCACATATGTTGGTGACAATATGAAAATTATGAGAGGAAATCTTGGGGAATTTTCATTGGTTAGTTTTCACTTTTTTATCCGAATTTATATTTAAACTCCTATGCTCAGCTGGGGAAGGCGTTGGACATATACTCCAGCACTGTTACACAGTTCTCTTCACCACTAAAGTTTCACCCGTAATACGAACAAACACTAGTGAAAAATATATTTCACATTTCACTTGAGCAGTTGATAACGCGTAAAACACATAGTATGTGAAATAGGGTGATCTGTTCGGTGTTATTCGGCAAGTGATTTCAAAAACGTCCTATCGCGTTTTTCACACCACGTAAAACGGATAGTCGTGAAACTCCAATATTATCAGTTCCCTTCGAATGAACATAGCAAATCTGAATTTCCGCGGAAACATACAACTACTGTCGCCGCAAACTAATCTATAAAATTCTATTTGGTGAAACTGTTACGTTATTTTTCAGAATCGAAAAAAAATTTTTTCGTAAAATTTCCACATTTTATATTACCGCGGATTCCTTCAGTTTTCGAGCCTTCCAAAGTTGTTCATCACTGAGTTTACTATTTCCATTCTGGAAATCATGCAAGGCGTTACGGGACTCGTATATTTCTCTAGTGCTGATCAAAAACACATGAAAAAATGAATAAAAAAACGAATCGCTTCATCAACATCCAAGTGATATGAAAAACATATTTCACGACTACTGCATATCCAGTGTGGGAATATATGCGCATGGTCAACTACATGTGTTTTTAGGAATATGGGAATTTTGAGGAATTTTTTTGCGAAATTATCGTTGATTTTCGTATACTTATACCCAAAATCGTGTGATTTTTCATAAAATAGTAAGGAAACCAAACATATATTCCCATACTGTGCATATCACCGCGAATATCGCGTTTTTCACTACTTTACGTAAAACGGGCAGTTGTGAAACTCCAATATATATATCACATTCGTGTGTCAGTTTTCTCTACAATAGGAATTTACACAAGACTCTGAGTAGAAGTGCATAAAAAACCTAACAAGAGTCATCCCATGTTATCAACGCGTGAGTATTTCTACTACTATTATAGGAGTAAACGATCCGACGGTTCGAAATTTTCCCAGTAAAAAATAAAAGAAAATTTACAGAAATTTTTCGAAAAAGAATCAAATTTGATTGAACGAAAATTGTAATTTCTCTTTTCCGATAAAAAAAGAGCGAAAAAATATATACAGAAAATTACAAAACGCGAAAAAAAATTTACCGTGAAAAAAATGTTGAAAAAATTCACTCAAAATTTTGTTTTTTTTCAGGAAAATCCATAAAATATGTGTTTCTCGTTGAGGAATGAGAATTTTGAGCTTATATAAATACGATTGAGCCCACTGATTATCACCTGTGTAGTAGAGTGGTTGGATCACACTGATCGAGCATACTTCGGAAACGGCCCCAGTATGAGGTCTGATCATATCGGCGGTCGGTTAGTGAGAATGGTGGTGTTTCAGAGGTAATCATGCTGCTGAAAATGGACATTGAAAAACTAGGAGAGAAAATTCAATGGAGTTTATTGAAAAAATATATTTCACGACTACTGCATATCACCGCGAATATCGGGTGCCTAATCGTCGGCACGAACACTCAACAGGACGAACAACTTGGCGCACGCCCAAAAATAAAATAAAAAAAACCTCGCTCGCCCTAAATTCCTCTTAATGCCCGGGTGTCATTTCAATCACGGTTCAAGTCCTGAAATAAGATACAAGTCCGCATTAAGGTCCGCCTCG